GAGCCACTTACACACACGCACAGGCAAAAGAAAGAAAGAGGAAGAGGAAGAGGAAGAGATCTCGTGGCATATCCATCACGCATGGAGAGAGTAGACCCACATCCGTGTTCCTTTGCGAGCCACTTACACACACACACGCTTTGCGCTCTTGCGGGCCCTTTAACATCGCGGTGGGGCGCGGCTATCAATGCCCCCCGCGTCCGATGAGGCCGCTGTACCGCCATTCCCGGTGGGAGAACAGGAGAAACGCCACCGTCAGTGGCTCCCCGTTGCTGCTGCTGTCACATCCATAAACACCTTAAGGGGTAAAGGTAAATCAATGTGGAGAAATCAGAAGAAGCGTTAGTCCAAGCAGGCACACACGAACATGTGTACAGATGCATACATATATCAATATATATATATATATATAACGATTGCACACAGTATACACACGCATTCACAGGTCCAATTACGCTGACGGACACCGGCAAGAAAACACGCACAGACAGACTTAGTTATACACACAGAGATCTAGACATGCACACTTAACATACCCACATATATATACCTATATATATATATCTTCTTCTCTGTGTCTGCGTGTGCCTGTGCATGGACAGGTGTTCATGTAACTGCAACACGAAGCTGAACCTTTCGGCCCACCTGCCGCAGGTGTAGCGAAGTGACAGAGAGAAATAGAGAGACTGATGGATAAATATATGGAGTGGGGAGTGCGTCTGGGTGGTCTACTGGAGCAAAGGCGCGCTGAACAGCATGTAAAAAGAAAAAGAAGAAGACGAAAAAAAAAAGGCGGCACGACAACTCAACGCATGCAGGCTGCCCCGTATCGTCCGCACCGGCGGCGCAGTCACCCGCAAGAGAAAAAGAGAGGGGCGATGTCCATCTCGCAGGCCTACAACGCCACAAATGTATGCTGTTTTTTTTCTTTTTGCCTTTGTTTTGCAATGCTTCTCCGCTAATATTTCGCTCAGTTTCCCCTCCTCATATTTCCCTTTTGTTTCTTCTCTCTTGCCATTGTTGTTGATCTTCTTTTTTGTTTGTTTTGTTGTTTCTCCCCTCCGCCGCCTCTTCCTTTTTTGGTTGTTGTTTATTTCTTTTTTTCTTCCTCTTTTTTTCAGCTTGCCCTCCCCCTCCTCAGCTGCTTTGAAGAGGAGTTCGGTGCGGGCCCCCACGCCCCCACGGCAGGCAGGCCCGCGCCAGCAGACGCCCCACCAAAAAGGGGGAAGGACGCCGGTCAACACAATGCTGTGCCATGCAAGGAGTTAACTGACTGGGTGAGAGAAAGGCAGGGCAGGGCGCCCGGCGCTACGACTGGAGCTCCGCCTCGAGGGCCCGCAGCGCCTCTTCATCCTCCTCCTCCTGCGTCTTGCTCTTGATCTTGGGCAGCACGCTGGTGGGCACGCTAGGCATGGCGGGCAGAACTGGAGCAGCCTCTTTCTTCTCCGGAGTTGCCTCCTGCTCCAGCGCCTCGGAAGTGCGCAGCTCCGCCATGAGCTCGTCCATGAGCTCGTCCTCGTCAAGCAGCTGGTTGTCGAGAGGCTGCCGCAGCGCCTCAGCGACGGCGTTGGCCTTCTCCATCTCGTCCTGCAGCTCCCCCATGTTGTCCTCTACGCGGTCGGCATCCATCTTCTTGTTGCGCTCCCGCAGCTCCTGTTTGACGCGCTGCTGCACCTCCAACAGCTCGTGGTTCATGTTCTGGTTCTGCAGCGTGAACTTCAGCGTCTCGAGGTTCTGCTTCTGAGCAGCAATGTTCGTCAGCTGCTCCTCAAACGCCTTTTTGCGCTTCATGCACTGCAGCGCGGCCTGTGTGTTCTTCTTTGCGTGGTATTGCTTTGCCCTGGCCAGCTCCGCCTCCACCTTCTTCTCCAGCACCGCCTCCCGCTTCTCCAGCAGCTCGAAGGTGGTTTCGAGCCTCTCCAGCGTCTGGGAGACGGAGCCGGAGGCACGCGGCTTCTCCTGCGCATCTCCCCTACCAAAGAGACGACGCAACATCGCTGCGGTTGGCCGCTTGCTGCTGCTCTCTACGCCTCCCTTCTCCTTCCTTTGTTATTGTTGTTGTTCTCTTTTGTATTGTTTTGCTTTGCGGCTTCGCGGTTGGCTCTTCCCTACGCAATTACCCCCCCACGGTTTTCCCTCTCTAAGCACACGCGCACAGATAGGCAGTGTATGCAGATACGTGTAAGAATGAAAGAAAGGGAAAGAAGAGATGGAGGCACGGAAAAAGCGATAAGAAAGACCACAGCCGCAGGCACACACACACAGCAGAGTGACGTGTGCCACAAGCCCCACCGCCGTCATCAGTTTTCGCTTCACACGCGTTCTTCGTTGTGTTTATTATCCCTTCTTGCTATAGAGCCCCCGCACTTTCCCGCCGTGTCTATCCTTGCTTGCTTGCCTCCGTTTGCTTGTTTTTTCTGGTTGTTGGTGTTTTCTTCAATGACGTCCCACGCCCATGGGCCC